CAGACTGAAGAGACTCAGTTCCTATCTGGTTCCTCTTCTCTGGACTGATTCCAGAGCAGCGATGTTTATTCTATAACACAGTAACCAAAACTAATCACAATATTCAAAATGAGGCCTTACTATTGTGTTATATCCCAACGTAAGATGCTAATATCCCAACATCCCACTGTATCCTAACATTTTGCTTGTATTATTCCCCATGGTGTCTAGAACATGTATAATCCAGGAACATCTCTCGCAGGAGCAGATTCTTCAAAATGGACCCACTGATATGACAGCCTCTCAGCGCAGCTCCTGCCTGACAACATGTGAAACCTGAAGGTGCTGACAGATACTGTACACTATTGACCCAGACCGACAAATTCATTTTGTTTATGGAACTGCAGAGTTGTTGTTTATTTAAATTAATATCTCCGGAGTTCATCGAGTGCACTGTACTGTACTCTCTCATGTCAGCAGCACTGATGTTTAATGATTTACAAAATGTTTTGGTAACTTCTTTCATTGTGCTGTAGCTTCTGTCTATCAAGGCCACCTGGATTATCCACTATCTCAGTCTAAGATCTCTTACGAAACCTGTCCATTTAGTCCAAGAAGGCCAGCGCAGAGCACACGCCTGTGACTGGTTTGGCAGTATAACGACCTGGACTGGTGGCCACTGCTCCATCTTGTCCATCTGCAGGTCAAGAGAAAGTCTTGTCTACGTCTCTGGACAATAGTAGTGAGAAAGAGCAGGTCTTCTAGCATCCTTCTAAGAGACCCCACTTTTAGAGAGTGAGTTCAAGTTAAATAAACATACTGTAAGCATCTAGATCTATCAGCAATTATTATACTGGACATTTCATTTGCTGTTAAGTCCAGGAAAATACAAATTTGCTATGCAGGTTAAGAAAAAATACAATCTCGATATAATCAGGAATGTGCCACTTCCATCTGGGTGATCATGACTTTATTTTACACTTGACACACATTACACAGAGATTTTCTGGACATATTTTTTATTATATTCAAGAATAAAACAAAGTTCAATAAGCAAAGTTCTAAATGATGAATCAAGATGACAAATATGAAGGGGCACTGCGCTGAATACTTTTCTGTTAACACGCCTGGCTGAGGAACTGACAGTGTGGAGCGTGTCATGTTTCTACTTCAGGACCTTTCATTAAAGCTTTTTATTTTTTTTGTACCCTATTCTTTCACCTAACGCTGACCAAGCAGCTGCTGTGAGACTTATAGTGATCTCTGTAACTCTCCTCCATTTTTCTGGCAATAACCTTGAGAAAGTAAAGTTGTATTGTGAGTTTTCAGCCTCTTCTCTGGCTTTCTTCAGCTGCTGCTCAAATTCCTGCTGCACTTTCTCCAGATCTCTCTCATAGCTCTTCTTGTTGTTTCTTCCATCTCTTGGCACAACTCATCCTGCAGTTTCTTCTTCAGCTCTTCCTCCCGTCTCTGTCTCTCCTCCTCGTATTTTCTCCTCAGCTCCTCCTCCTTCTGTCTGATCAGTTTCTCTGCCTCTTCGTACATCTCCTGGGTGTAGTGGGCTCCTCCGTTGTCTTCCACCATGCTGTCGATCTTGTCCAGCAGCTCTCTCACCTGAGTGCGGTCACTCTGGTCTCTGTTGTTGAAAACATGGTACCTGTTCCCACACTTCTCGATCACACTCCTGAGCTCTGGGCTGGCCTTGTCAACAAACTCCTTGATGTCTCTTCCCTGTAGACTGTCTCCGTAGGTGAACAGGACTATCATGTACTCGTGAACTTTCTCTCCGAAGAGCTCCTGCAGAGCCTCCACTGCGTTCTTCTCCTCTGCGGTGAATCGGCCGATCTGAATGACCAGCAGGAAGGCGTGTGGTCCTGGAACTGAGACCTGAACACACCTCACGATCTCCTTCACTATCTCCCCTTCAGAAAATGTAGTGTCTATTATTCCTGGAGTGTCTATCACAGCGACAGGCGTGCCATTAACGGCTCCTGTCTCTTTCAAACATTGAGAAGTCACAGATGAGAAGGAGGGCTCTGATGTGAAGGCCCGTCTGCCCAGGATGGTGTTGCCCACAGCGCTCTTGCCCACTCCTGTTTTCCCAATCAGCACGATCCTCCTCATCCTCAATAAAATATCTGAAAAGAAAGAAAACACAGAAGAAAGAGTGTTGAACTGTACTGGGTGGCTGTGTGAGCTGAGAATCCCTGTGCAGCTTCAGACCTGAAAGAAGCCCGTCTTCTGTTTGTAGAAGACTCTCAAGATTGCTCTCTGTCTGCTCTGTCCCAGCAGTGTGATTGACAGGGCCCCTGCCCGAGCCAAAAACACCCCTGGGACCATCAACCCGATCAGGAACTCCCACCATAACAACCGCATTCCTTTGGTGCTTCCCTACCACCCCAACACACTTCCTATCCCCAGGACTGTTAACCAGAACTTTTCCATCCTACAGGATGATCCCTCCATTGGGGCCCTCTTTTCTGACCGCCCCATCATCTCATATCGCCGACCACCTAATCTGCGTAACCTCCTTGTTCACAGCTCCCTTGACCGCCCTCAACAACCATCCACACCAGGCACTTTCCCTTGCAACAGAGCTCGCTGTATCACCTGCAAGTACACAGCCACCAACACACTCATTCAAGGCCCCTCAGGACAATTCCGGATCACCCAGAGGGCATCTTGTACCTCCAGCAACCTTATTTACTGGATCTCTTGCAGTAAATGCCCAGCCATCTACATTGGGGAAACAGGAAGGAGACTGGGAGCCCTCTTCAGAGAACACGTCAGGGCTGTGAAGATTAAAGATCTCTCCAAGCCCATTGTTTCTCCTTTCACCTCTGACGGCCACGACCACACTAATCTCTCCGTCTGTGTTCTCAAAGACGGTTTTCCGAACTCATACATCAGAAAGACCACCGAGACTAAAATTATCCTGCAGCTAGGGATCACACCTTCCCTCTTCCCTTAACGACAGATTACTGTTCTTTTAAATTTTCTCCATTCATTGGAAGTTTCATTTCACACCTCTCTGCACCCAATCTGACTCCACACCTCTTGATTGGCCTCTCTGTCTGTCCCCTGCTCCCGCCTCTCACTCCTCCTCTCTCCCACCTCTCCTGACTCCACACCTC